GACCGTGATGTAATTTGCTTACAGCCAAATATTAACTTTTTACTTCTGGTGATTGCATTCAGGCTGTAATAATCCTGAAAGAGGTGTTCATTTGTGACGAATATCTCACTGAACAAAACGTGTAAATATCATAAACTTTTGTTTGCCACAGAATGAGATTATCTGCCCATTTAACTCAATCTGGTGCAGAAGAAGCTCTGTCTTTTTACTTATGGCCATAAAAGCTAAAAACAATAAGTTGATAATGTAAATAATTGTAACTGCTTGATTTCAATAAAGTTTACTTTAAGTTGACTCCACGAACACATATAAAACAGCACATGGGATAAATTAACACTCAGGGCTTTCACAGAATCTCTAAAGAGAAGTACGCTGTGGAGTCCGCTCAACATGCTGTATGTTCACACAAATTTCACAGGTGTCCATTTGTGCGCCAAGTCTCTTGAGTTTTTTTGGAAAGCAAGACGTCTCGTTCACAATATAAGTCTTTTTGGGCCTCATGGCATCACCTGACCGACCTGGAAGTTGTAATTCCACTGTTTGACTACGATGTCAAATTCACTTTTAAGTCCAGCGCTGTTCAGGAGACCTGGAACAGACTCAGAGAGGAGGCTCTGCCTTTAAGACGAAAGTCAGGGAATAAAGTAACAAGCTGTAGATGAAGGTATACAGTAAACCACCTGAACACAGGTGTGTGTACTCTGTGTGTACACTGTACGCTGTAAACTCTGTGTGTAGTCTGTGTACTTTGTATTTTGAGTGTACTCTGTGTACTCTTTACATTCTATGTACTCAGTGTGTTCTCTGTGTGTACTCTGTACTTTGTATACTTTGCATACTCTGTGTACACGCTCCAGTAAACTGTCCAAATAAATAACACACTGTATATTGTGTACGTGTGTATATAAAATAAAGACGAGCAGAAGCTGAAATCAGTTTAATTATTGGCTGTTTTGGTTAAAAAATGACTTCACCTGTTAATCAATTATCAAAATAGTTGCTAATCATTTTTCTGCTGATCAACTGATTGATTAATGGATCACTTGTTTGTAACAAAAGCAAACTTTAACTCACTGAGAGCTTTTTCAGAGAAGGTCAGATCGACTCTCAGTGTATGTTGTACATTAGTATTTACTGTATGTTTGTCTGTATTAATATATATGTGTGTGTGTGTGTGAGTGTGCGTGTGTGTGTGTCTCCCCTCAGCTTAATGTCGGTATCTAAATTCATGTGCGGCGTGGCGGCGGCGGCGTGGCGGCGGGCGGATCACAGGCGGATTGTGTTGGATTTGAGCTGAAGCCTCTTTAATCATCCTAACACCGTCATTAATATTCATGCAGTCAGCTGGAACACCCGACACTCACTGCACCAAACTTTCTGCACAAAATGTATTAAATACAGCTTAAAAAATTAATGGACTTTAGTTTATATTACATGAAGAAGAAGGGGGGCGGAGGGGGGACCAACCTCCCCCGCCTCCCCCCTCCTCTTCTCATTGGTTCACGTAGATTGGTCCTCTGATTGGCCTTTGTATTTTCCCTTTTTTCTGCAGATTTTTCCATCTTTGACGAGACTTCAAAGCGAGCGCGAGGCATGAACGGTCATTTAGAAGGATTTAAGCACATTATCACATCTGTAATTGTACATGAATAATAAGGAGAGCCGCCGCGCTCAATTAGCTCTGAGTCCACAAGAAGATCAGGGAGGGGGAGGGGGGCAGAGGACGACAGGAAATGAGAAAAGTTTCAAAGTGAAGACGCTCAAAGAGGAAATTATTCAATAACTGTAACACAGCAGAACCAGGACCAGAACCACAGGACCAGGCTCTGTGTGTCTCACCTGAGCTCTCATCGACCGCACACACAGTCAGGTTTCTCAGTTTACCTGTGATCACACGCGTGTTCTCAGAGTCCGAGCCCTTCTCACCTCAGACCATCAGAACCAGGACCTGATAACTGGTTCATGTGTGTTGAAGGAGGAGAGCACGTTCAAGTTGGAACCAGCTGACTTCTGTTGCTGCAGAAAAGCCTCAGTGGGTACAGTTACATGCGCACTGATATTCCACTACTAAACCGAATACGACAATATTCTGAATTTCTGTTTGGATTTTCCAAATTTAGCATTTACTGATTAAGGCCTCGATCACACAGAAAGCGTTTTGCAGGTGGCAAAACACGAGGCGCACCACACTACCTCTTTTTTTTAATTCAATGCCACTAATAAAAAAACAACACTTGCTGTGTCTTCTTTATTACTTGCTTGGCAACGATTCCATTGCTTCCTTATGCTAACCTTCCCATGTAAACAAACTACTGTTTTGTTTTCCCCACAGTAATCAGTGTGTAGTTGCTGACATGTTGAGGCAGAGGGTACTGTCTGTAGCTCTGGTTGAGGGTGAAAGGCTGTCAGCAGATAAACAGAGATCTGTGTGGGTACATGAGACCCTAAAAAAGAGGCTGGATCATGGGGAGTACCACCAGTTGGTCCAGGAGCTTCTCCTCCATGATGGCTGTTTCCAGGCATATTTTAGGATGACTCAGAGGCAGTTTGACAACCTGCTCTCTATCGCCAGGCCGTATAGTTCTGGGTATCCAGCAACCACTACCACCAGTTTCTCCTCCATTGTTTACCAACTGTAAACTTGTTGTCGTGACCACCACAGAAGGCCCGCCTCTCAAATCATCAGATTTGACAACGGGGAAGAAAGATGATGAAAAAGAGGTGACATGCGGCGCTTCTCTGCTCTGAGTTGAAGTTTTTTTAACTCGAGGAGTTCAGAGTGCTCCGGCAAAAACGCCCGGCGCCTTGAACATAGAAACCGCGAGCAAAAAGCTTCATTCTCATTAAAAACAATTACTGCTAAAGCTGCTAAAACGCTTTCTGTGTGATCAGAGCCAAAGACGTGTGAGATATGTTGGTATTATTCAAGTTTATACAGTACATTCAGAATATGGGTCCCACTTCTGGTTTTTACAGCAGTTTGCGACACACAGCCTCCTCTCTGTTTACTGCTGGCTCTGTGCGTTGTCATGGATACGTTGTACACCAACCAACTCTCCAGCAGTTTGTAGGGCAGGTGTCGTGATACATGCCCAAAAGAAAAGCCCACATTTCTGGGCAGGAGGAGAAACACACCTACTTTTAAACATTGTGAAAGTCCTGGTTACCAACAGGTGTTTGGGTGTGCGTGACTGTCACAACACCGGCCTTTTTCAGAAGGTGGTTGAAGGAATGAGGAGGGAGGCTGTGTTCGCATGATCCATCAAGTCCACCACTGGGAGGAAACTTTGAACTGTGTGGAGTTTGCATGTTCTCCCCGTGTCAGCGTGGGTTTCCTCCAGGTGCTCCAGCTTCCTCCCACAGTCCAAAGACATGCAGGTTAATTAATTGGTGACTCTAAATTGTCCGTAGGTGTGAATGTGTGTGAATGGTTGTCTGTCTCTATGTGTCAGCCATGTGATAGTCTGGTGACCTGTCCAGGGTGAACCCCGCCTCTCACCCAACGATTTCTCGCTTGATTCCTCCATTACTGCCCTCTCCATCCTCTCTTTCCAACCTGTAGAATCTGACACGCCCACTGATGTCGTCATGGTTCGATCTTCAGGTTAAGGAAAACCTGATATGTTTTGGTTCCAGCTTACGATCAACTTTTCGGGTTCTGAACCAGGTTATTTTTAGTTGAAATGCTATGAACTGTTAAAAATTGGGTGTGGGAATTAAACCAACTGGTTCCATGTCCAGTTCAGACCAAAGATTCACAATGAGATTAAACCATTTTAGAACGTTGCAGAGAAAAGTTGCAGCGGTGTGAACACGCAGGTCTGAGCTCGACTCAAGCCGGCTGATGGTGTCACCTGCAACTCAGCCAGCTTGAGTCGAGCTCAGCTGGTCTTAAAGCACGTCACCTGTTTCAACAGCCAGTCAGCTTGTAGTGAAGTCCACTGGTCAAGTCAAAATGACCACAGATGGCGTGTTGGCTCACTGCTGCTGGTGCTCTGTCCCCAGCGAGCCCTCTGTTTCCATCCTGACAGTGTGCCGCTGCTCACTGTATGTGCTTCTGTCTTTTTCTTCAGTCCATTCAATGCTCATTTTGTTTTTCACTGTTTCTTCACTACTAATGCAGCTGTAGCCAGTATCTCACTATCACTATCCTCATTCAGATTTTAAGAATTATAATTATTATTATTAAATTATATAAATAATAAACAAAATAAACCTGAAAAGCTGCAAATCAGAGCAGAAGTACAGAGAGTTGTTGACTAGAGATGATACACCATCTCATTTAGTTGACTTGGTGTGAACTGGCAGCTTTTTAGAACGTTGCGGAACGGTGCGTTGCAAGTAGTTGTTTGTTTCAATGCGTCTCGTCCTGAGTCTTTGGTCTGAACTGGGCTTAAATGTTTAGGTGAGCAGGTGGCACCTTGTAAGGCAGCCTCGGTCACCAGTGTGTGAATGTGTGAATGTGACTCTGTCCTTTAATGGATGTGAAAGGACACCAGATGGGGGAGGGAGACAAAGAGAGAATGGAAGGATACGGAAATGATTTAAGAGGCGCTGGATTATTGACACAATATTATCATATGTGTTTATCAACATGAGATCATTAGTTATCGTTAGTACAGATATATGTACACCCCTAGACTCTGAGGACACATGGAGACGTGTGCCTGAATGATCTCTGTGTGTTTTGTTGTTTACTTTTGAGTTAGCGAGCGTTTAACGTGATCTGTGCCTCCTTTAATTATACCTGCGCTCTGATTGGTGGCTTCTTTAATGAGAGCCGTTAACCGTCCTGAACAAGATATTAAAGCCATGTTTGCTCTGCTGATGAGCTGCAAGTATTTAGAAAGCTCAACATGACGACAGGATTACTGCTCGCTAATGATTAATAATTAATAAAGACAGAGAGACACTGACGCCACAGACACTCAGGTGAGCGATGGACAGGTGGTGTGATGTTCACTGTGTGATTCAGTTTGGTCTGCTTTTGTTTTTCTCAGCTAATCCAAGAGTGAATGTGGAGCTGCGACAGCGTCTGCCCTCACCTGCACCACAGCAACCCAGCAACTTGACACAGCAACTCAGCAGCTCAATACAGCAACTGTGCAGCCCTGACAGGTAGGACATGTCTCACAGTGTGAAGCTGCAGCCTGATGACGTCTCTGTAAAACATGTACAGATAGTCCTGATGGTGGCGCCAGAGGAAACATCACAGAGTCATTAAAGTTCAGTTGCATCTGTACCTGCAGAGTTCACACTGTGTGTTAATGACATCATGATGGTTCTTACAGATCTGTGACCAGCCTGAGCCTGGATCACACCGACTGGCCTCAGGGTAACATCCATCCATCCATCCATCCATCCATTAAATTATCCATCCATCCATCCATCCATCCATCCATCCATCCATCCATTAAATAATCCATCCATCCATCCATCCATCCATCCATTAAATAATCCATTCATCCATCCATCCATTAAATAATCCATCCATCCATCCATCCATCCATCCTCTATCATTTTATCCATCCATCCATTAAATAATCCATTCATCCATCCATCCATCCATCCATCCATCATCCAATCATCCATCCTCTATCATTTTATCCATCCATCCATCCATTAAATAATCCATTCATCCATCCATCCATCCATCCATCCATCCATCATCCAATCATCCATCCATCCATCCATCCATCCATCCATTAAATAATCCATCCATCCATCCATCCATCCATCCATTAAATAATCCATCCATCCATCCATCCATCCATTAAATAATCCATCCATCCATTAAATAATCCATCCATCCATCCATTAAATAATCCATCCATCAAATTATCCATCCATGAAATTGCCATTATCCATTCATCCATTCATCAGATTATCATTGTTCATCCGTCTGTCCGTTTGTCCATCCATCCATCAAATTATCATCCATCCTCCTACTGAATTATTCATCCCTCTATCCATCCATTCATCCATTGATTCATCCACACATCCATCAATTCACCTATCAAATTATTCATCTATCCCTCTGTCCATCCATCCATCCATCCATCCATCCACACATTAAATGTATCCATGTAACCACTGTGTTACTGACGGTCGGTCTGTGTCTGTCTGTCTGTCTCCCTTCAGCCCCTCATCACCTCCCAGAGCCTCCTTCCTCCTGCTCCCCCTCTCCTTTGTTCTACAGGAGGTCTGTCTCTCCCGTCTCACCCGTCTTCCACAGGAGGTCTGTCTCTCCCGTCTCACCCGTCATCCACAGGAGATCTGCCTCTCCTGTCTCACCCGTCATCCACAGGAGATCTGCCTCTCCTGTCTCACCCGTCATCCACAGGAGATCTGCCTCTCCTGTCTCACCCGTCATCCACAGGAGATCTGCCTCTCCTGTCTCACCCGTCATCCACAGGAGATCTGCCTCTCCTGTCTCACCCGTCATCCACAGGAGATCTGCCTCTCCTGTCTCACCCGTCATCCACAGGAGATCTGCCTCTCCTGTCTCACCCGTCATCCACAGGAGATCTGCCTCTCCTGTCTCACCCGTCATCCACAGGAGATCTGCCTCTCCTGTCTCACCCGTCATCCACAGGAGATCTGCCTCTCCTGTCTCATCCGTCTTCCACAGGAGGTCTGTCTCTCCTGTCTCACCCGTCATCCACAGGAGATCTGTCTCTCCTGTCTCACCCGTCTTCCACAGGAGGTCCGTCTCTCCTTTGTCCTCCAGACCTCCAGGAGGTGCAGGGCAGGTGAAGATGGAGCTTTCACCCAGCCGAGGCCCTTCTCCTCGGGGAGACAGCTGTGGAGACGGCCCTGATGGAGGACGAGCATCCAGAGGTCCTGGTAGTCCTGCCCTCAGACGACACCTGGTCAGCCCTGATGACAGGTCAGATCATCTATACTACTAATTGATTGAATGATTGATTGATTGATTTTTATTTATTTGAGTGTCATGCCTCAGATGGAGCCGTATAAGCTTACGAGACACTAGACAAGATCAATCAGGATGGCCACATGACCAATCATAACATACAGTTCCACAAATTCAAAAAGAAATCATGTTATAAATCTTACTTAGGCAAAACTCTCACGAAAGAGCCAACATAACATGTCACCCTCACATAACCAAAACAAATCGGGGTTCCTCACCTGAACTGTTTCAAACAAATGATTCCTGAAGTCACTGTGCATGGGGCTGTGGAGATGAAATTCATCCTCAACAACACCAAGATCACAAACACATGCTGCTCTCCAGGAATACCTTTATATCATCCTACCTCAGTTGCCAGTTCTGAACTGAGCACAAAGGGACCTCTACCCTCTGTGTGAATTAAATGTTTCGTGAGGTTGGATGTAATAATCTGCTTTGATTTGAAAGCTCAGAAACTCTGTCTCAAAAGGAAGATTCTCAACCTTCCATTGTTTCTTATGGACATCTAGTAGTTTGTGTTTGATATTGAAAATTATTGCTGAGTGTAAAATGTGAGCGTCTTACCTGCTTGTCAAACAGCATCAAACCATAAACCTTCTCGAGTCCAGATCTGAGTAGAGTTCTGCGGGGATCAGCTGTGAAGTCCAGCGGCAGTTGGCTGCTTGCTCCGAGTATTTACTGGAGTTTACCGGCCCGTTGCTCATGCCGCATTTAAAATAATTACAAGTGCGGCTGTTCTTGGCTTTTACTGTCCAGTAGTCCACCAGGGACATACTCGTCATTGTCTTGTTTTAGTCATGGAAAAAAGGTTGTTGACGAAAAGTTGTTGTCATAGTTTTCATCAATGAGATTATGACTGTCCTGACCAAGGGTTAAAGTGTTAGCTGAGGTCAGTTGCCCTTTTTGCGCAGAGATTGTGCTATAGGTCTGCTACAAAGTCCCTTCTTCATGCCACCTTTGTATTTTTACACATTAAACATGGCTTAATAGAGACAGACAAGTACACAAATCAGCTTCACTGTAACTCGCAGCATTCACAGACAAACACTTGTCTTTATCTGGAGACATTTTCCCCACAAATACAACATGCTAACGTTTTTAGCACAAGCCTAAGGCATTTTACAGGGACAACAGCAACATTTCACAAAGGTAACATCACAAAATTCAGCTCCATTACAGCTCACAAGGTTCACTGACAAAACAACTGTCTTATACTAAACACGTTTTCCAAACAAATACAACATGCTAACATTATTAGCACAAGCCTATGGCATTTTACATTGCATAAATTAGCCTAGCAGCTAATAAATAAATCACACACAAGACTTAAAATGCTATTTTTGTGGAGGCTTTATTGTCTTCACAATTTATTGTTTCTTATCTGTGAAATTAAAGTAAATAAAAGTTTTGTTTCCACTGAGGGAAATGGTTTCAGCTTCCAGAAACAGACAGGTGGTCTGCGTCACTGTGACGTGTAGTTACATTTCTGGGGAGGTGCACGTCAGGCTGCGGCGTAGATTCAATGCAGAAGTATAAATTCTGCTTTAAAACAAGTACGGCCCACTCTCCACTTCTTACCTCTCCACTTCCAGCCCCCTTGCTCGGACCACACCCATCTTCTAACTGAACCTTCATTTTAATTTCAACCACACACCTGTAAAGTTTAGTGACTGCATCTCACACTGCTGTTATGCTAATGGGGTGATAAAAATCTGCCCACAGACAGACGGACACATAACCACCTGACAGAATACTCAAAACAGCTTCTACACTACAGTTGGTGAAACCACAGCCATATTTCACCATGATGACACAAACACTGAGGTGAAAACAAAACCAGCTGTAATGTCATTGTTGCAGCTGATAATAAAACATTAATATCACAATCAGAATAAAACAGAACAGAGTGTGATGTCTGAAATCTAAACAGTATTTAAGACAAACAGGTAGTGTTGATAGCAGCAGTATTAGTACTATAGTGCAACAACTCTTAGAATAAAAGACAAAGACGAAGGCTGTATGAAATAATAATGATCTCAATAATCTGATAAGTTTGGAGATTTATTAAGAAGTTCACCTTTACATTCTGTGATTCACGTTTTTCTGCTTCTTTTGTCTCTTTTGATGCTTTTTCAGATGAAATTTGTGGTATGAGCAGTTTGAGTTGCATCACTGTGTGAAATGTGACCTATTAGATTTGATTTGATTTGATTAGTTGAAGAGAGGGAGACAGAAATAGAAAGATAGTAAAAGCATCGAGGCGGGAAGTTGATTAGAAGCAGCTGAAACAGTCAGTGTCTTATTTACCCGCTTTATTACGCCGTCTGACCTTTAAGGTAATATGAGAGAATTACAGCAGTCAGTTATTAAAGCTCTAACGTCTTCATCTCTGAGCCGCACATCTGATAATGTGAGGTTAAAACACCTGACCTGACTACACACAGGTGAAACTCTAATGAAACACAGACTGAGATGATGTCAGAGGAGTCATGACCAATCACAGCCTCGCTGGCCAGCAGCTGACCTGCTGCTGTTTATCTCCTTGCTGAACGCCATGTGATGAAGGTTTAGTTTTCTGTTCATCTACAATAAAATACATTTCGTCTGTCAGTGTGGAAGACAGGAAATAAACCAAAGTGTTCAAAACACATCTTCCTCTTCTTCTTATAGTCTCACAGCACACTTATTAAACTCACAGGCTGATGCTTTGTTAAAAGTCCTGATTTCACTTTCAGGTCCTTGAATGTAAAAAGTTTCCTGTCTCTGATTCTGGGGATGAAGCAGTTTATATTTCTTCTTAAATTAATCTTTAACATGTTGAAGTGCCGCCCTCAGGACGCCATCAGATCCAACGAGACATCAGAACCTACATTATGTGCTTTTTTTTTTTTTTTTTTAAAAAGGTATGTTTATTGGTAACTCAATAAAGATGTACAGAGTATTGATAAACAAACACAGAACCAGTAAGGACAAAAAGACAACCCCAACCACCCATCAACGCAGGGACAAACAGAGAAAGCCAGACCACTCAAAGGAAATCTAATAGACAAGAAAGAAAAGAAAAAAAAAAGATTTTTTTTATTTAATAAAAAATAATAAAAAAAATAAATGTGTATAAAATTAAGAAATAAAAATAAAAAAGGGAAAAATGACAACAAATTGATTAACTTGTGTGACAGAAGTAGGGGAGTAAATCATGTTTCATTACAACTGCAGCTTCTATATTTGCTACAAATGTTAAAAATGGTTGTCAGGTGGCAAAGAAGAGTGCAGTTGATTCTTTAATAAAACAACCGATTTTCTCCAGTTGTAAATGATACGTAAAACATCCTTGATCCAATGTCCATATGTTGGAGGTGAAGAGTCCCTCCATTTACACAGGATGAGCCTTCTGGCCAGACGTGAGCAGAAAGAAACAGTGTCCACTTGGGCCCTACTTGGGTTAACATCTGGAGGAGTTAGTCTAAATATTGCCATGGACAGTGATTGGGCAACCAGCAGTCCAAACATTGTTGAAAAGATTTTAAATATTTAATGTACTTTATATCCTTTGTTACTGTTGCTTTAATTGAAACTTGTTGTCTCCCCCAGCTCTCATCAGGAAGTCACGTTTGGTCCGAGCACAGCGTCAAGTCGAGGTCTGACGTTTGATCGAGACAAAAACATCTCGTTTTTACTGAAGGAGCTCGACGCACTCAGAGACATGAACAAGAAGGTTTGTGGACATACTCTATCTATCTATCTGTCTGTCTGTCTATCTATCTATCTGTCTGTCTATCTATCTGTCTATCTGTCTGTCTATCTATCTATCTATCTATCTATCTATCTATCTATCTGTCTATCTATCTATCTATCTGTCTATCCATCTATCGTCTATATGGGACAGGCTTTTAACTCCTTTTACACAAAACTGTTGCTCAGCAAAGATGGGAAATACAATCAAATTGTTTATTTGAGAGAAAAAATTTGAGAGAAATCATGCTGGTAAATCTGAATGACTTACAGACTTCTCTGGTGCTCATGGTTTTAGTAAAATGAAATCAGCCTAGCTAACGATGTGTAGCATCTCCATATTGACAAAAGTTAAAACATTCCCATTTGTAATCTCGATTTCAGCAGCTAACTCCTGTTAGCTCCAGTGGGTAGTCAACAATCTGTTTTTTTTACATCCAAAGAACTTAATAAAATGAACTGCTTGGTAACCAGACCAGGCTTCTAATTGAGACAAGCTTTTATTCGTCAAAATGTGTAGCTACCCCAGGCTAGTGAAAGGAACTGGGCGTTTTATTGTATATATTAGGGCTGTTAAGTGATTCAAAAAAACTAATCTACGCATTTTCTCTATGATTAATTAATGTAAATTAATCACATACATCAATTTTTGCCGTTAAAGTGTTTAAAAAGATTTCAGTTGAAATGAATTTTGGCAGGTGTGTAGTAGTAAAACTGCTGGATTTTGGACACAGTTGTCATCCTGTCCTCTACCACCCAAACTGGTCTGCAGTCCATTTTGGAAGGGAGTTCATTAGTCGGTCACAGGTACACTTAGGGCCCGTCCCAATACTGCCCCTTAGCCCTACCCCTTGGCCCTACCCCTACATTTGCGCGTTCCCACGAGGGGTAGTGGTGTCCCAATTCCTTTTAGCATGTAGGGGTAGGGGGCATAACGTGGGGTAGTGGGTATGAAACTAGCCCTTTGGAGCGAGGGATTTCAGATGCTGACTTGCCAGCGAGGGGTAGACATTGCCATGGCTACCACCGACCAAGAGACGGGGAAAAAAGTTCCTACATAGCTAACGTTATCGTCGTCAGGTTGCTTGTTAGCTAGCTAGCTAGCTATGCTGCCTCGTAATGTTAGCTGGTTAGCTAGCTAGCAGAAGTCCCGTGTCCCCTGTCGTTCATCAAACGAAGCATGATGAATGCGGCAAACGCGATCGGTAGGATGAATGAGACTCCATTGTAGATGCCGGTTGGAAATGTAGATGGTTCGCAGCTTCCTGTTTAAAATAGTTACGTATGCGTGAATGTAACCGGCGTAGTGACGTAGTGAGTGGTGTCCCAGTTCCTAGGGAAAGATTTCTACCCCTACCCCTCGTTGCTTCATTTCGAGGGCCAAGGGCTAAGAGGTAGTGGACAAGGGGGGATATTGGGATTGGGCCTTAAGGCGCACCGTACTCAAGCACGGTACACTTGCACTCACACTAGCCAAATAATCCGGACCTATAATCTGAACGCCTGGTTGAGTGTGGCTTGCCGAGGCTGTGCTAGCTCAGACCTCTGGGTTCACTGCTAAATGTTTTGCGTTGAGGTGATATTTCAGGCTTGAAGTTCTCTGATGATATGAAAATCCCTTACTGCAGACACTAAAGAGGACGGTGCTCCTATGAACAGTTCCATCTGGGCGTTTTTTAAAATGTAAATATTTCATTCACGGGGCCAAGCAGTTTCATCTCGTCTGCCTCCATCATGTTACAAAACCACTGTGGCCTTCAGTGACGCACCTGGTCAAAGGGCACCACTGAAACAATTAACCAGCGTTAATGAAGACTTTGATTTGCTCTTCATTTAGGTTGGGAAAATATATTTTTTTGATTAGCGTAAATGATGGATGTCAGAGGTGACTGAAGTTTTTTGGTGATAAAAACTTTGTTAGTGAGGAATCATTTTATTTGTTAAAGTTGCTCAGAGTTCTCTTAATGCTAATGAAAATACTAATTTTAAAACATGATAATAATTCTTTAGTTTGGATTAAGAAGGGCTACAGAGTTGACATGTTGTGGTTGAGACACACCTGATAGCAATATAATTTAATGAATTTATTAAAAGAATCGGTGGGACCACTGTGTTTAACTATATGTCTTTAAATGTTACAGTTACAGCTGAAAATGACAACAAACAAGCTTCCTGAATTTTTATGTCTCCACGATTATAATCAACTGCCAGTTTTTTACCTGGAGGTGATTGTCGTCGCTAGCGTAACATCTATCATGTCCGTACATACAGTAGCTACCTGTAACTGAACCCGAGGGAGGTCCTCACAGGTATACTAACACCTGACTGTGTGTCAGCTCCAGGATGAGCTGGTCCAGAAGGAGAAGGAGCTGCAGAGGAGGGAGGTGGAGGAGGAGCTGAGGGAGGAGCAGAGGGAGGCCAGAGACTGGGAGAGACCTGCAGGTGAGGAGAAGGAGACGAAGGGAGGGAGAGGAAAGGGGGAGAGGAGGAGGAGGAGGAGGAGGAGGAGGAGGAGGTGCATGTTACAGTTTACTCTCCTCTTAATCAGATCTGATCCAACCTCGACTTCTTAAATATTTGAATATTTTTCATGCACACTGTTTAATACCAACACACACACACACACACACACAGAGTCTCTAATTAAAACAACAGCAGTAACGAGGTGACAGTTAACGAGGCAGCTGTGTGTTTAACCAGCGATCACACTCAGATGTAATATTGATTTAACTGAGCTGTGTGTGTATGACTTTGTGTCTGTGTTTAAGTGTGTGTGTGTGTGTGTGTGTGTGTCAGTTTAATCCAGCAGGATTACCACAGAAACAGGAAGTCTCTTCGTCCACCATATTTTATTTTATCTTCAGTTTTACATTTCTGTGAAATAAAAAACTGCAGAAACATACATATGTATATGTGTTTATGTGTTTATGTGTATGTATATATACACCAAGACATGTTTTCATTGTTGTTATATATATGTTCCTCTCCTAATCTCCTTGTCTCCTCTCCTCGTCTCCTCAGCGGTGTTGGAGGAGGTGTTAGCTGCTCAGAAGGACAGAGATCAGGCTCTGATGTCACGACTTCTGCTGGCCAATGAAGAGAGAGATGAAGCTCTTCTTCGTGCACGCCAACTGCAGCAGGCCGCTGAGTATGCACGCACACACACACAAACACACCAAGGGCGCAGGAAGTAGGGTGCTGAGGGTGCAGGAGTTGAACTGCTGGACTCTGAATGTCTGTTTTAAATGTGTGATTTGGTGCCGGTCAGTAAATTGACAAAGAAATGATGTGTAAAATGTGTGAATTGACGTGACAGCGGCATCACGTCAGGTCAAAGGGTCAGTTGCTGTCAGGTGGCTAAACTTGGGGAGAGATTTGGCGGTGGCAGGGGAGCTACTGATGTTGCAGAAAACCAACCAAATTACTGACGGAACAAGAGTTTCTGTTGCTGCTGGAGGATAGACTGTGTATTTAATAGATGCAGCTACTGTCACAACACCTGCTGGTTAGTAGACTCTTGTTTTGAAGTCTTGAGTTCGGCATTTCAGCCATCGCCATCTTGGTTTTATGAAGCCAAAAGTGACCATGATTGGATTAGAGGTTGGAGCTGTGGAGGAGTGAGGGGTGGACCTGACTTATAGACTGTGGTGACACCTCACAGACAGCCTGTCACTCAAAGCAGCCCCGCCTTTAATTATGCAGAACTTTGGGCCTTAATAAAATGTAAACAGGTGAGTTATAAAACAATTCTTCCCTGCACAGTTGTCATGAATGTTTAAATTGACTTTAGAGACCAAAACTGTTATTGTACCCGGCTGTAAACATCTGCTGTAAAGTTGGACATTGTGACACGGGGGTCTTTGGGATTAACTTGCTTCTGGAGCCTCAAGAGGCCATTAGATGAACTGCAGTTTTTGGCACCTCTGCATTGGCTTCATTTTTCAGTCTCGGAGGTTGGCACTTGTGCTGGAGCAGTTCAACAGCCAGTCTCAGCCTTCACTAACAGAAGAGATAACATTAGCCTCAGGCCGTATCACTTCCACCCATCCTAAAAAGGGATCTCCTCGTCTTATGCAATATATATGATATTTACGGCAGGAAAAAGGCGGTTTTCAGCGTTCTTTTTTTCAACACACCATGTCCCCTGGACAGTAAAACATCACCGGGTCATCACTGACATACTGTAAAACTTCAGTTAGTAGCCCGGGCTATTATTTGCTTAAAGCACTGAACTAAACAGGCTTATATTCGGGACAGACGTCTTTAAGAGACAAGCTTTTAATTCCTTTTACACAAAACTGTTTCAATGAAAAGATGCATCTCAGTGGTTTCTCCGACATGACAAATGCCTTCAAAATAAGTGAAGTCACACCATGATGATGCTTTTAACTTGGTTTTAACGTCCACAATGTAGCCTTGGGGAAATTAATAGTGCGTCCCGTGGACACATCGATAGTGAGTTTATTGCGTCCTTTAAGATTTGAAGCAACATCACTGAATCAGAGAAATATAGAGAGACGGCTCCTCGGCAGCTGAGGAGGTGAATCAGTCATTTTATTTTGAATCTGCAGAATGTTTCTATAATGATTAATAATGATCATAAGCATAGTTATTGATAACAACAGTTAGATGTTACAAAGAGTTGCAGGCCTCTGTTCAGGAGGTGACTATTTGTTTGTTTGTTTGTTTGTTTGTTTGTTTCCTCTGAAGAGAAATTGACAACATGTTGATTTACTTATTTACATGTTTGTGTTTATACAAAGGAGGAAAACAACAACTACCACTTTTCCTCTTTCTCCTCTCATCCTCTTCGTCCTCCTTTCCCCCGCTTCTCCTCTTCCTCCCCTTCCTCCTCCTCGTCCTCCAGCTCCTCCTCCTCCTCCTCCTGTTCTTTATTATTCACCTCCTCAGTCTTGTTAAGAGCTGTGAAACGAGCTCTTGTCCTCCTCGAGGAGCCTCCAAATAGACCAGAAAATCTAATTACAGATAATACCCCCCTTCCCCACCTCCTCCTCCTCCCCCCCTCTCTCCCACTCCTCTTTCTCCTCCTCCTCCTCCCCCCCAGGATGAGAGGGTAATTGATATTGGAGGCCACAGTCCTTTTTATGAGGAACAGAATATGGAGGAGCATGTTCCATCTGTCAGGACTGAGAGTGTGTTAATGTCTTAGTGTGTGTATGTGTGTGTGTGTGTGTGTGTGTGTGTGTGTGTGTGTGTGTGTTTTTCTAATGGAAAGAGGCGGCCTGTATTACCTCTGTAAATGTGTGTAAATGTGTGTGTTGTGTGTGTGTTTGTGTGTAAGCTGAGGTGTGTGTATGAATAATATGAAGCTGCTGCTTTACGGGGTGTGTGTGTGTGTGTGTGTGTGTGTGTGTGTGTGTGTGTTCTCTCTTTACCAACGTTTTATTCATCAAACAGGAAACATCTGCATGTTGTGAATTTGATGATTTATTTTTAAATTTAATGTCATAAAAAAAGGTGTGAACTCAAAGATCTGTTTTAGAAGACATTTTAATCCAGACTTAATTATTATAAAGACCGTGTGCAGCCGACATCGTTAGAAATATGCGAGCACATGTTGTGAGTGTAAATGGCGTTTTGCCCGAGCCATCCAGAACAGTTATCAAGCTGTAAACATTATTAAAACTGTTACCAGCATCAGAATGTCTCGTTGTTTTGTGTTAGATTGAATCAGTGTTCCAACAGAGGATTCGAGTTCTAACAGGATTTAAGAGCAGCAGGTGTTTTAGTGTAACAAGTGACCGTGTTAACTGTTAACTCAGCCGAATACATCGTGGTTGCTCGTGGTGACGTCAGCCTGTGACAACACGATCAGAACACGTAAGTTTTCTTGAAAAGCCTTCAATTTTACTTAATCGTAAAGACAGAAGGTTGTTTATTGTGAAGACAGAAGTAAGAAGTTTGTCGTCAAGACGGAAGTTTGTTTATCAGAAAAAAGGCGTTTGATTAACGCGAAGACAGAAGTTTGTTTATTGTGAAGACAAAAGTTCGTTTATCAGGAATGAAAGAAGGGTTTTTATTTTAAAGACAGAAGATTGTTTATCGTAAAGACAGAAGTTTGTTTATCAAGAATGAAAGAAGGGTGTTTATCTTCAAGACAGAAGTTTGTTTACCGTGAAGACAGAAGTTTGTTTATCGTCAAGACAGAAGTTTGTTTATCGTCAAGACAGAAGTTTGTTTATCGTCAAGAGAGAAGTTTATTTATTGTACAGACAGGAGTTTGTTTGTCGTAAAGACCAAAGTCTGTATATCGGGAAGCCAAAAGTTTGTTTATTGTACAGACAGAAGTGTGTTTATCGTACAGACAGAAGTTTGTTTATAGTAAAGACAAAAGTTTGTTTATCATAAAGACAGAAGTTTATTTATTGTACAGACAGGAATTTGTTTATCGTAAAGACAGAAGTTTGTTTATCGTACAGACAGAAGTTTGTTTATCGTCAAGACAGAAGGTTATTTATTGTACAGACAGGAATTTGTTTATCGTAAAGACAGAAGTTTGTTTATTGTACAGACAGAAGTTTGTTTATCGTCAAGACAGAAGGTTATTTATTGTACAGACAGGAATTTGTTTATCGTAAAGACAGAAGTTTGTTTATTGTCAAGACAGAAGTTTATTTATTGTACAGACAGGAGTTTGTTTATCGTAAATACACAAGTTTATTTATTGTACAGACAGAAGTTTGTTTATCGTAAAGACAAAAGTTTGTTTATCGTCAAGACAGAAGTTTATTTATTGTCAAGACAGAAGTTTATTTATTGTACAGACAGAAGTTTGTTTATCGTAAAGACACAAGTTTATTTATTGTACAGACAGGAGTTTGTTTGTCGTAAAGACCAAAGTCTGTATATCGGGAAGCCAAAAGTTTGTTTATTGTCAAGACAAAAGTGTGTTTATCGTACAGACAGAAGTTTGTTTATCGTAAAGACAGAAGTTTGTTTATTGTAAAGACAAAAGTTTGTTTATCGTAAAGACAGAAGTTTATTTATTGTACAGACAGGAATTTGTTTATCGTAAAGACAGAAGTTTGTTTATCATAAAGACAAAAGTTTGTTTATCGTAAAGATAGAGGTTTATTTATTGTACCGACAGGAATTTGTTTATCGTAAAGACAGAAGTTTGTTTATCGTCAAGACAGAAGTTTATTTATTGTACAGACAGGAGTTTGTTTATCATAAAGACAGAAGTTTGTTTATCGTAAAGACAGAAGTTTATTTATTGTACAGACAGGAGTTATTTGATTGTCAAGACAGAAGTTTGTTTTTCGTAAAAAACAGAAGATTGTCTGTCGTGAAGACAAAACTTTATCGTAGACAGAAATTTGTTTGTCTTCAAGACAGAAGTTTATTTATTTTAAAGACACAAGTTTATCATAAATACAGATGTTTGTCGTGGAATACAGAAGTTTGTTCATCAAACCGTCAGAAGTTTTTTAATCGTAAAGACAGAAGTTTGTTTGTTGTAAAAACAGAAAGTTGTCTGTCATGAAGACAGAACTTTATCGTAAAGACTTAAGTTTGTTTATTCGGAAGACATACATTTATTGTAAATACAGATGTTTGTGTATCATAAAGACAGATGTTTGTTTATCGTAAAGACGGAAGTTTGTTTTTAACAAAGAGGAATTTGTCGCAAAGACAGAAGTTTATTGTAAAAACAGATGTTTGTGTATCGTAAAGACAGAAGTTTGTTTATTATAAATACAGTTATTTGTTAATGGTGAAGATGTCAGTATGTTGAGGAGCTTCCATGCTGAAGAATATTGAGTGTTGCAGGTGAAACTTTTCCAGAGTGAAGTGTCTCTTCTTGCTGGGATCGTTTGAAGACACTAATGGCTGCTGTTGCTGGTGTTTCTGTGGAGTGGAGGTGTGTGTGTGTGGGAGTGTTAATGACGGCTGTGCAGCGAGCCGAGCCGAGCCGAGCTGAGCCGGGCTGGATGGGCTGTAAGCAGGGTGTTAGAGGAGCTTTATTGGAGGCGGCTGGTCTTTCATTACCTGCTGTTCCCTGCAGAGCGGAGCCGCCTCGGCCACCTTATTACAGTTTATTACAGAAAAACTGCAGCAGGCTAAATGAAAAGAGCTTCCCAGGAGGAGAAGCAGGAGATCAGCTAGTTACCAGCTCCACGTCCACCATCATGGCTGCTGTCAGAGGGAGAAATAACTCCTGAACAGCGGAGGAGTCCGCTCGGCCGACGCCCTCGCAGCTCTGCGATGATTTTAAAATGATGGAGAGTTTCAGGTGGACTTCAGGGAGCGCAAGACCAAATTACTGCACAGCTGCTGCAGCCGCGGCGCTCAGGTCATCTAATAGGCTGCTGCTGCTGAGCCCCAGCTTTAATTTGGTCAGCGGCAGCAACACGGAGGGGGGGCAGGCGTAGGGGTGGCAGTGGGGGTGTTGGGGCAGGGCCAGATTAAAGTGCTAGAGGGCCCCTAACCCCACCTTCCCCCATTATAAATGCAAATGTATTAAAAAATATAAACCACAATAACAAACATGAAGAACTAACAGCTGATTCTGAAGCTTCAGGTGCAGATGAACTGTTTATTTTTCATGTGTTCACACTGGTTACATTCTCTATGTAGTAAAACTGGACAGATGTGACTTACATTTATTTATTGATCGTCTCTCAGCAGATATTTTTTGATATAAAAACATGTTGTGGATCTGAACTTGTCTGTTTCTCTTCAGGCTGGACAGAGTTCACCTGGAGGACACTGACATGGTAAAAACACAAACACAGTGTGAGCATACAAACAGTTCAAAAGTCAGATTATCGATCTGATCAGTTCGTTTTTTTATCGGTCAGGACGTGGACGAGCTCCTTCGGTGTATTTGCGACGCCGACTCTGTCCAGGAAGTTGAACAGTTTGGTTCAGTTCTGGTTCAGCGTTTGCGGTTGGCCAGGCAACGGAGGAGTGACATCACCGCTCAGGAGATGAAGGCCGTGATGGAGGAGAGAGACACCTCAGTTGCCAAGGTGAGTCCACTTACCTGTCTGTGTCTTTACCTGTCTGGGACTCACGCTAAGTATAATTAGTGTGATGGCCGTTTGTTGAAAGGAGTTTAACAAAGTGTCGGTACTTTTAAGATTAAAAATCTCTTTTTCATTTTACCAAAGTGTCGTCATAGTTGGGCCTGCCCTACAGTTTAATTACAGCTGCAAAGCCGTAGGCTGTACAGGTGATTGGCATGAGTTTTCAAAGATTTGAACTTTAAACAGTTCTGTTGAGAAAGTTTAGCATGGGACTGGACCTGTGTGACCAGTTTTGTTTATTTTCATGCATCAGAAGTTAGATTTCCTCGGAAGGAGAAGGAGAATATTAGCAAATACAAGAGCGACCGGCAGCACAACTACGTGCAGAACTGTGTACAAACAAATAAACAGACCAGCTACGTAAAATTAACATTAAGCGGCGCAGGCAAATGCAGCTTCTGCGGGTTGAACACCCCTTGGGGACCTCCTAAAAATAAGCATGTACTTGCCTATGCATTGTCACTCCCAACTCATCACATATCGCCGCTTGGTAAGAGTCCACATATTACACGCTGGGTATCCTGTTTGCGTCTGTTGTTGACGTTCTGGGACGTTCTGTTCTGGAACTAATGGGTGAAAATCCAGTGTTGTTGGACCCATCCACCACCTCCTGCCCACCCTATGGGGACTTTCCAGCTCCTTAAATTACGTTGTTGTCCAATGGCCTTTCAAACTGACGCCACCACTCAGTGCAACATACCTCAGCAAGAGGATGCCTGTGTTTCTTCATTGTCTGACGTGGAAATCAATGACCAAGCAGCGATTTTTGACAGCTATTTTCTGTGAAGTTAAAACAGATATGAAATGATGATTAGACCCCTGCTCTCTGTCCATGGTGCTGAAATATGAGCCAAAAACAGATCTGATGAAAGACATTGACATTTTTTTAGTTGTGCATGATGTGCAAACATGGGACAGTGTGAGAGAGACAAAGAAATAAATGTCTATTAAAACAGTTTTCAGTAGTATAGCAGGTTCTTGATGTCATGTGACGTTGCCATACTGTGGCCTCTGCAGAAAAAGGGCTCCTGTGTTGAAGTTATTCTCGTTGATGATGTCAGTCAGTCATGGTCAGTGATGAACTCTGTGTTTCAGATTATTCCTGCATGAAGTTTTTCTCCCTCTTATCACCACAGTCTGAGATTCACATAGAAAACATGCTGACAGAAAATACCCCCTTTATATAAACACTGGTTCATCCATCCATCCATCCATCCATCCGTAGCAGCATCACTTCCTGCGTGTGTTTCAGGCCTCTGGTATGAGAAACCTACAGGAGGTGGAGACAGTGTTTGTTCGTCTTAAAATTAGTTCAAACATTTCTCAGGAATCATCTTCACTCTGAAATAATCAATGACTGAAGTCGATCAGTATTTTTACACCTCTGATAAGAAACAGGAAACGTGACGGACGTGTGAATCTTGTGTAAAAGGAGAAAAACAGACCTAATTTTCCTGCTCTGTCTCTGCTTCCTGTCCGAACCTCTCACTTCAGCCTGACTGCAGCTAACGCCTCTTTAAGTTGTCTGTTTAACCCAGCTGACACGGCGCTCGGCGTGGTGTGGTGCAGAGCGTCGGCCGGGTTACGGAGGCCCCGGAGGCCCACACCTCAAATATTTGCAGTTTCAATGTGAACATGAATATTTTGAACGGTGTGAAAACAAATATCGAGATCCAGATTGAGTCGACCTGACAAAGCTGACATGAGGCTGATGTTTGCTGAACACTCAGTTTATACACCTGTTTGTCTGCTCAGGTGTGTGTGTGTGTGTGTGTGTGTGTGTTACTTGAATGCTGTATATTTGCTGATGGAGACAGAGGAGCTGCTGATGGACTCACAGATATTTAAATCAGACAGACAGGTGGACACTGTACGTCTCCTGATCAGAGAACCATGATGATATTACCTTCTGTGAACTTGACCAACAACTAACGACTGATTCTTTCATCATACCAATATTTATTTACACATTATGTTCCTGAATTTATCATCCATCCATCCATTTTCCGAAGTTGGGTCATGGGGGCAGCAGGCCAAGCAAAGCACCCCAGACGTCCCTCTCCCCAGCAACGCTTTCCAGCTCCTCCTGGGGGACCCCAAGGTGTTCCCAGACCAGATGAGATATATAATCCATCCAGAGTGTTCTAGGTCTGCCCCAAGGCCTCCTACCAGTGGGACATGCCTGGAACACCTCCAACAGGAGATGTGCGTCACCTCAACCAACCCCTTTCGACATGAAGGAGCAGAGGCTCTACTCCGAGCTCCCTCCAGATGTCAGAGCTCCTCCCCCTATCTCTAAGGCTGAGCCCAGACACCCTACAGAGGAAACTCATTTCAGCTGCTTGTATCCATGATCTCATTCTTTCGGTCACTACCCAGAGTTCATGACCATAGGTGAGGGTTGGGACGGAGATGGACCAGTTAATCAAAAGCTTTGCCTTCAGGCTGAGCTCCCTCTTCACCACAAAAGTACGGCGCAGTGCTCGCATCCCTGCAGATGCTGTGCCAAACTGCCAATCCATCTCACACTCCATTCTACCCTCACTTGTGAACAAGACCCCGACATACTTGAATTCCCACTCTTTGTGCACTAACTCTCTCCCAACCAACATGTGACCATGTAACCAACTAACGCATCTTATCAAATTGATTCTTACTCATACTTTTGAGCACAACAAATCAAACATGCAATTGAAATCTCTGTCGTCATTTTTAGTCTCTGTCCAGTTTATTAGGTACACCCAGTGTCGGGCAGTAGCATCATTACAAGTAGTGTAGGAACTAATTTAACTCCATTTCTCATAGTGCTGCACGATTTGGTAAAAATGTGCGATTGCGATTATGGTGGACAATATCGCGATTTGCAATTGCGATTGCGATTACAATATAATTACAATAAAATGTAATAAATAAATGGTATCATGAGTGTTTTTGCTTGATTCAGTGTTTCTCCTACATAATATCAGAGGGGCACTGACCTGACATAATTATTGTTATGGACAGACAGTGTGTCAATGACCATCAACAGACTGAGCACAGTCAAACACACTGCTCACACAGCAGTGCAGCACGGATCTGTACACACAGCAGAGTGAGCATATGTTGCGTTCAGGCGTTGTCACGTAAATGACAAATTCCAGAGCCATAGCACAACACAGCAGCATGTCAAGTGGGCTGAACCCGAGCAAAATTGCTCAATTTTTCATTTGTTATGGAGTCCATGTTTTCCCTGTGACACTTACAAATGTTTGCTTAACTGTGCTTGGATGTTGTTTTATGAGGCTCTGGCAGCTTTCAGTTGTCTCATTGTCTTTAACGTTAAAGGCTCGGCTTTCTCTCGCATGCACTCTTCCTACTTTTCCCTGTGCTGTGCTGTCTCAAGTGCTGATATAGATTGGTCGTGTTGCAGCGGGACGTGGCGACTTTAACTTTTAAACTTTTACACAGCACGTCTTTCAGGTACGGCGACGTTGGACAGAAAGACGTGCTGTGTAAAAGTGTAAACGTTAAAGTCGCCACGTCCAGCTTTTCTTGGCAAGACCCTCCCTACTCTGCCTCTGATTGTATTGTATTACACAGTGCACTTTTCGGCACATCTCTGACGTGTCATGCCCGTAGACTGTGTATATTTAGTGGATTTGCAGTGGAAATTTGAGAAATAGACACAACAAGGGCCAACAAGCTGTTGAAATTTTACAAATTCTCAATAAACTATCCAAGTAAAATTTGATATAATACGTATTTGTATATTTACTACAAATGTCTCTGAGCTTTACTGCCTCAGTTTTTACTGATGTTCTGTTGTAGCATGTTTGTAGGAGAATATTAACTGTAAATGAAAACGTCTGGAGCACAAAACACACACAAACATGTTTCAAAAATGTTTGATGCAGTATTAGTGGATGACCACATGAATCACATGATTTATTACAACAATAACACCTGCATACACTTTGTTTGCTGGGTTGAGTGGAAAACTTCATATTGATCAAGACGTGCTACAGCAAAACAAACTGTCAGAATATTAAAATATCAGTACATTTAATATAATTTTGAATAAAAACACACCTTCACTGGAAATAATTTTTGACACGTAAAACAACTTCTTACTTAATAATTCATTCATATTTATGTATAAATTTATCCTATCCATGCTCTAGTCAGCAAATTATAAATATTTAATTTGTCAGTTTTATTTGTTTTTTATGTTAATTAAAAACAGTCTTTAAAGTCATATCTTCATGCTGGAGTCCTTCTCCAGCGCTCCATCATGTCACATGATCTTCATCAGCAGATGGAGATGTAAATTCAGTCATGTAAGATTTGAGGATGGATTATTTTAAGTTACTACTTAGTGTGTTTTATACTCTGATGTTTTTCACTGGATCTTTTTGGGGGGCATTTTTTGATTTCAGATTTTATTTTATTTCCCTTTCCTTCTGATTTTAATCTCTGATCAGAGTCAAAATCCTGTGTCAATAAATCAACAACAGGTGAAGATTATGTTCAGCAACTAACAAGTGAAGAAGTGAAGAATCAATATCTAAAGGTGGTGAAGAGAAGATGGTGATCATTAAATAAGCAACAAGTAAAGGTAGTCTTGAGTAATTAATCAATAAGTAAAGATATCATTCAATCAATAATCAATAAGTAAAAATGGCGTTCAGTCAGTAATCAATAAGTAAAGATATCGTTCAATCAATAATCAATAAGTAAAGATGGTGTTCAGTCAATAATCAATAAGTAAAGATGGCATTCAGTCAGTTATCAATAAGTTAAGATATTGTTCAATCAATAATCAATAAGTAAAGATGGTGTTCAGTAATTAATCAATAAGTAAAGATATCGTTCAATCAATAATCAATAAGTAAAAATGGTGTTCAGTCAATAATAAATAAGTAAAGATGGCATTCAGTCAGTAATCAATAAGTAAAGATGGTGTT